GCCCGGGAACTGCAAGCTGCCTGGACTGGGCCCGGGGCTGCCTTCAGGCCTGGTGTGATCCGGGCGCACTGGCGCGTTGACAGTCATTCTGGCACCGGCCACGCAGCTCTCCGTCTGTGCAAGACCACGCTCCTGAGGACAGAGGTGCAGTTTTAAAACAAGGGCACGGAAATAAAACCGACCACACACCCTAAAGGACCCAGAAACCCTGCCTCAGCTGCCCCCCCAAGCTGGTGCCTGAGGTCAGGACAGGCTGCAGTGGTCCTGAGAGGCTGAGCCAGCCTCACTCCCACAGCCTGCTCAAGGGTCCTTGCAGGAGAATGGAGTGATACCACCTCAGTGGTCCCCAGCGAGGGCGCTGGAAGAAGGGTTGAGAAGGAGATGGCCACCAGCGTCCCCTAGAACACCTTTGGGGCTCTGGGGATCAAAACCTGGGGCTACAGTCCTCTTGGCACAGTCAGTCAAGGTCATTCCCTGGACAAATTATCAGACGCTTGGCCAGGTTCTTGTCACTCTAACCTCAAGCTAGGCCCTTGATCTTGGCCACAGACTGGCCCTTGACCCCAATTTTAGGTTTTACTCAGCTCTGCGTCCACAGCACACACACACCCCCCCAGCTCACTCCCTGGCTTGCCCTCTATGGGGGTGAGTATGGAACCCCGCAGGGACTCGGCTCTCCCCCCAGAGCCCTACCTAGCCCTAAATGCAGTCCCAGGTCCCACACCCCAACCCCCCTCCCCTCCACCACTGCCAGTTTCAAACCAGCCCCGCAGTCTACTGGGAAGGAGGCAGGACTCTACAGGCTGGAGACACTCGGCCACACGTGGCTTGGTGTGTGGGCTTGTGGTCCTGGCCCATGAGGGGCAGGGTGAGAGGGACAGGTGAGCAGACAGCAGCTGTGCAGTGGTGTCACCTGGTCAGCACAGGTGGAGGCAGAAGGCCCTGGGCGCCAGGTGGGGAAGGAGGGTTCTGAGCATCTCCCACGCCCAGGGCATGAGCTCAGCAGCCTCAGGGTTCTGGTTCACTGAGCACAGCTCCTCCAAGCCCCTGAGAATCGTGAATCCGAGACAGATACCTGCAGCTGCTTCCAGCCCTGGGGCCAGACCCCAAGGGGCTACCCACTAGGCCCCCTGGCCCTCTAGGGATGGGACCAATTGTTTTAATCACTTTTATTTTCTAAATATTAAAGACATTCTTCTTTAGTGAAAGATATTTGGAAAGCATTGAAAAGTGTTTAGAAGATAGCAGATACCCAGAAATCAATTCCCCAATTTCTGTATGTTTATATGTATGTATACCAACATATACTTGCACCTTTTAAAGCAAACCCTGCATCCCTACTGAATTCCAGGCCTGTGCTACTGAGTATGTACGCCTTACCACATTTAAGGTTCACAACAGTACCATGAGGTGAGCTCTCAGTTTATTGCTTTTTTCGTTGTTGTTTTGTTTTTGAGACAGAGTCTCACACTGTTGCCCAGGCTGGAGTGCAATGGCGCAATCTCAGCTCACTGCAACCTCTGCCTCCCGGGTTCAAGCGATTCTCCTGCCTCAGCCTCCTGAGTAGCTGGGACTACAGGCGTGTGCCACCACGCCCAGCTAATTTTTGTATTTTTAGTAGAGACGGTTTCACAACATTGGCCAGGATGGTCTCAATCTCTTGACCTTATGATCCACCTGCCTCGGTCTACAGGCGTAAGCCATCAGCGCCCGGCCATTTTTTTTTTTTTTTTTTTTTGAAACGGAGTCTAACTCCGCCCAGGCTTGAGGGCAATGGCGCAATCTCAGCTCACTGCAACCTCCACCTCCCAGGTTCAAGCAATTCTCCTGCCTCAGTCTCCCGAGTAGCTGGGATTATAAGCATGCGCCACCATGCCTGGCTAATTTTTGTATTTTTAGTAGAGACAGGGTTTCTCCATGTCAGCCAACCTGGTCTTGAACTCCTGACCTCAGGTGATCCACCTGCCTCGGTCTCCCAAAGTGCTGGGATTAGAGGCGTGAGCCACCACGCCCGGCCTTATTCTCGTTTTACAGCTTAGCTTGGGGCTCACTCGGGGGTCCCCAGCAGGGCCTGGGCTGAGTGGAGCTCACCCTGGGTGCATCCTCCGTATCTCCTCCCGGCGTTTGATCTTGTTGATTCCTGGCTGGTACGAGGGCCTGGTGGCCACAGTCTCAACTGAGCATAGCAGCACCACTGCTATGGGTCTCCAGCTCAGGGAGGCCCCTTCCGGGATCTGGGCCTGAGTTCTCACGGCCTTATAGCTTGATTTTTCCCCTTCCATCCAGAAAGTATCAGGCAGGGGATAAGGGGAGGTCACAAGCCACATCTGCAGACACTGCAGAGCCCCTGGGTGCACTCAGGAGCCACACACAGAGGACCAACCTGTTGGCCTGGACACCTGCCCGTCCTCCCCTGGATGGCAGAAGCCTTTGGTGGCTCTCCAGGTGCTGCTGCCATTGTGCGGGTGGTGACATCCCACCCCAGTCTCAAGCCAGATCCAGTCTGTGCCCATCCTAACAGCTTTGTGTTAAAGTCATGTCGGTGCCACCCTCCTGGTCCGCAACTGCCCTGTTCTCCAGTGACTGCCACAGTCCCGCCGCCGGTCTCTAGCCTCCCCTCCAGCCCTGCCCCAGCCTGTCACCACACAGCAGCACAAGGCTGTTTCTAAACCTGTTGGATTACCCCCACCTGCTCAGAACCCCCAAGGGCTCCCCAATGCACTTCTTACTCAGAGCACAAGCCCAGGTGATTGGGTGACCAGGACCCAGCTCCCTACCCCTGCCTCATACCCCACCCCACCCATGCCCCACATCCCTCCCCACATATCCCACATCCCACATCCCTCACCCACACCAGTGCCCGCTCAGCTGTAGCCAGGCTGGCTTCTGCTGCACCTTCTGCCCCAGGGCCCCTGCACCTGCTGTTCCCACTGTCTGAACCTTCTGCCCCTGTGTCTCCAAGGCTTGCTCTGTCACTTTCTTTGAGTCTCCGCCCCAATATCCCTGGCTCAGGAAGCCTTCCATGACCCTTCCTTATGCAAGAGCCACACGGCCATTGGCAACAGGCACCCGGACCCCATCCCGACACTGGTCCACCCTTGGCTTCCATTAGCACAGTCTCCCACTTGGTCCACTGTCTCATCACTGGCCCAGCGGGGTGCCTGGCACAGAGCAGGTGCCCTGAGGACTCTCACAATTGGAGCCTAGGCTCCATCTGTCTCCACCCTGTTTCCTGTGCCCCGTCCCCCGCACCTGCCCGAGTTCTGGTGCCTCTTCCCCATCCTCAGAATGTCCGGGGAGCTCCGTCAGCAGAAAGGGAAGTAGCAGGTGGGGGGCCTCAGGTGCCTCCCTGGTGCTGCTGTTCAGGTCAGCCCTTGGCCAGGACTGTTGGGCTGAGAAGACCCCACCAGGACCCGGAGCCTTTCACCATCCCAGCACAGGCTCTCTAAGCTGTGCTGCCGGGGCAGCTCCCCAGAGTCAGAGTGCGCCCCTGCGCCCCTGCACCCCCGCGGCAGGAGGACAGCCAGAAGGCTTCCCTGCCCACTCTCTGGCTTGCATCTCGCCTGTCAACACAGAAGGGAGGTGCAGAACAGCCTTTGGTGAGACGGCCGGTGGCGCCGCTGTCTCGGGAGGAAGCCGCTTTCATTGTCTGAAGAGCAGTTCACCGGGGGCAAGAGAAACCATCTGATTTCGGTCCGGTCCTCTGCCTTCCTGGGGCAGGGCTCGCCGGTGAGGGAGGACCTTCCTGCTCACTGGGAGCCTCCGTGGTCCCCCCCAGACACCCACGTCCCAGCAGTGGGGTTGGAGAAAACGTGGTGAGGCCCCTGGCCTTGTGGCTTAAGTGCAGCAGATGATAAAGGCCCCATGAAGACACGTGCGCTCAGTGAGAGGGCTGGAGAAGGCTGCTTCTACTGGAGGGATGGGCTGAGGAGGAAACGAGGGAGTGGGGGACCCTCAGGGGTCGGGGGGTGACAGGAAGCCCTGCCTGCTGGGGCCTGCACCCTCACCTGCACCCAAGGGGGCCCTGTCCTGTGAAGCTGCCCCAACGCCTGGTCTCAGAGGGCTTGCGGTCCAGCAGGCAGCACGGGGAAGGTGTGGCAGAGGTGAAGAGCGGTGGTGTGTGTGCCTGGCGGTGGGAGGGGGGGTGTGCGGGG